CATGCGCTTGCAGCTCAGCTTGCCCACGTCCCTCTGGGCTCTGGATCTCACTCTGCAGCCCAAGAACTGAAGGGTAATAACGCATAGACAAACCTGCTCTTTTGTGGTTCTGCTCACAGTGAAAGAAAATAACGAGCAAACAGTTTTTGTATATGCAGGCTTCAGAGCAATTGTGTCAGGACTTTTGTATTTGCACTCTCATTTTAGGTCATAATGCAGAAAATCATGGCAAACCTTTTATATGAGAGTTAGGGACATTTTGCTAACTACTAGAGAGCATCTGGGAAAAATATCTTCCAAAGAACCTCTTTGCATGTGCAGAGGCTTCATTATACTTGTTATATTTATTACTCATTATATTTTGTTAAGCTCATAATTTACATCATAAATGCCATGAGAGGTAGAGGCAGAAGGAAGAAAAATGGCAGGATCTGATGCTTCTTCCCCAAACGACAGAATTATCTTAGAACTCTTCTGTTCATAAACGAGACTTATCACTTGAAAATCTCCATTTGCAAAGAGCAAATTATGCTGTCACTGGCCAACCTATTTTATTTATTTTTAATAACTTCCCATATTGTGTGGTTCCAGGCTACACATCACATGGCACACATTGCAAATGAGGTACTAGATATCTTTCTCAAGATCGTGTACCCTGGGCTGCATTTTTCATTCTTCTTGTTTACAGGGAAGCCTTTTATTCCCTCTTTAGCATTTTGAGCATTCACGTGTCTAGCACATGAAGTACTGTTGCAGTCACATGGCTGTGTGAACACACATGGTTCAACTAACGCTCCGCTTCACAGAGAAAAAGAGAAACATGAGATGCAAGATAAACTGCAATGGCTGAAATCGGGCAATTCTGTCAAAATTTGGACTGTCCTTGGAGCAGGGCATCAAAAAGGCTTTCCACTAGTGCTGTGACCATGTAAATTGCTTTTTACTTCTTGCTTCCTTTTCAATTCCAGAAGGCCTTTTTAGCAAGAATATGAGAAATTCCAGGGTCTGGTTTACATTTACAGAGTACTAGTTTCAGAGCTCTTTACTGAACCCTCTTGAGGGCCAGGTGCTGTGTTTTCATATAATGGAAGATGCTGCTGATCTTGTTCATTGCCAGTTGTGGTCCTGCATCACAAGAGTGCTGGCCCACAACCTACTTGTGGGGAGGGAAAGCCCAAAAGAGATTCCGCAGAACACCACCATGGTGCTGCTAGTTGCATGCACAAGGGTGAGTGAATGAGTTTTACACTAGAACAACAGCAGCCCTGTCAGAGAAGCTCAGTCTTGAAGTGTTTTACCTGGGGCAGCAGCTGGTGCTTTGTCAGGCCAACAAAAACAAGCTGAGTGACAGTGCACCAATACCTTTAAACTCTAATCTCTTCCATCTCTCTAACTCTGGAAGAAGCTGTGATAGACAGGATGGTGCAAGGACTAACTTTTGTCCCATTTCTCAAGTATTTACTATTGCATGCAAAAACAAAAACACAAAGAAAAAGCTGTTTTACCAAAAAGTGTAAGGTACCACGAGGAAAGGTACTGAGAAGACAGCTTTGTTTTGTCCCTGGGTGAGGTGCTCGTCTCCAATGCCTGAGGACAAGTCAGTAGAGAGTGGCCAGAGGGCTTCCTCACAGGTCAGGCAAGGCAAGAAGTCCTTAAGTCAGCAGTAAAAGAAACGGGCAGGGTGTCCCCTCCAACAGGCTGAACACCACAGTGAGGTGCTGGGGGATCACAGCAGGAAAGGACCAGCACAGCGGGGCAGGAATGGACCAGCAGAGAGTGGCCAGGTTTACTAGATCCTCCTCCCACTGGCGGAGATACAGTACTGGGATAAGTGATCCATCATCTGCCCCATTTCTCATACTCCTACCCTCTACCTGATGGTGGCCAACAGCTGAGACCTAAAGCAAGTGAAGGAATGGGGTGCAGTAGATAGATGTTTCCTAAAACAGCCTTCTGGACATCGAGTGTTTGTGGCGCACAGATTTCCCAACCCGGAGGTGTTGTTTTACTTAGGATGGGATTCTAACTTTTTTTTAAATTTAAAAATAAAAAGAGCAAAGAAGACTTTGAAGTCAAACTTTGTTATTAGAGGTGACATGCCAACCATGGGTAGGTGCCAACTGCAAGACTTTATTTTGACTGCTGTCTCATGAGGAAAGTTGGCAGCTGGAAGGGCAGGGAGGCATGTCCTGAAGAAGGTGAAGAATTTAGCCAGACTGCTTTCAACAGTGTCTTTGATGCTGGGTGGCTGAGAAAACAGAGCGCTGTTTTCTCTGCGTGCTGCAACAAAACATCTTTTAATAATTGTCTTCTGGGTCACATTGGGTTACAGCTTGGACCACTGCGTTGACCCAGCCCAGTGCAGGATACCAGATTTTGCTTCCGGAAGACACACTAGCATGGATTGCGTGTATTGGGATACTTCGTAGCTTCTGCGATCATGATTTTTTTTTTTTTTCTACTGAGGGAGCAAAATAAACACCTTCCCTTCAGTCTCTCGATTCTAACACTGATCACACACACAAGAGGCAGCTAAGCTTTCAGTCTAAATGAAGAAACAGTTCTGTGTTCAGGGAAAACAGATTGAAAATGAAACTTGTACTTATTGAAAGGACAATTAGAGCTCTGCAGCCATGGCATGAGAAAGAAACCCCAGGGGTCAAAAAAAAAAAAAGAACCACTCATCGTGACAGACAATACCTTATTTTGCAGAAAATAACGTGTCTCCCATGACTAGGATGACAGCTCAAAGGCAGGTAATATACAGCACTACCTTTTTGTAGCTTTTTGGTTTGACGGCTTTTTTACCTCTCTGTGCCAAGTTCTGGCTCAGTTGAGGGGACCACAGCTCTCTACGCCCCTACGTCCTCTTCATCGTTAGTGTGGGACCAGGCTGTGGGCCAGCAGCCACCGAGATGCACCTAGGCCTGCAGCAGTGGCTGACGTGAAGGGAGGAAAGATGTCAGAGGCTTCTTTTCCTTCACAAGGAGGAGGAAAAGTAAGGATGAAGGACAGTGTCAGCAACTGTTCAGAGATGAGGGCCTTGCTGCAAGATACACACCTACGCATTCGTCTCCATCCCTTTGGAAAGGCATATTCTCAAAAAAATCCCATCCTTTTTCTCCAAATTTTTTACATGCTGCCAAACCAGGGCAACTACTGTGAAAGTACCATCAAGACATGGCAACACTTTGATAGAAAGAAAGGTCGGGAAGCCTACAGGAAGCATTTTTTTTTTAACTACTACATTTTCTACTCTTTAAGTATGTGCTTAAGAGTACACGTTTCCGTATTTCCTGCTTTTCGGCAAGGTAGAGGGATGGAGAAGAGTATGACCTAAAGATAGTTAAGACAGTAGACTTCCTTGTACAGGATATGATCAGGAACATGCCTCTGTTCTTCCATAGATTTACCCACCAGTTTATGCTTGCACAGCCATTCACAACACAGAATTCACAGCAGAAGTGCTGGTTTTCTCTCAGAGGCACAACATAAAGGCATTAACTTGAATTTATATCTAAGCACAGAGTGGTTGCACGCACACAGCTTGGTTTGAGACCATCAGCCTACCCACTCTTGCAGAAATTTCTCCAGCAAGCTCCCTACCCCAGTAAGTTGGGCTGGTTGGGTGGGGTTTGTTAGTTTTTGAGGTTTTGTTGGGGTTTTTTTTTGTTTTAAATCCTGCAGAGGTTTAGGCGGGTGGTGGTTGGATGGACAAGGGGTGAACCAACAAATAAGCAAAAAAGAACTCTTCTGAAACTTTCCAAATTAAGAAGCACACATGCCATTTTCTTCTTCAAGAGGTTTTAATAAAGACTCATTTTTAAACCTCTCACACTGTACAACACATTTAAATGTACATCAAGCTCAGATAAAAAATAAAGCTTTCTTACAAAGTACATTTTTCCAGTGAATTTTTCTTTTTTTTTTTTTTTGCAGTAAAAATAGCTGCTACATAAATCCCTCCTGATCTTTGAAAAGGAGTCACAGTTATTTCCAAAAATAGAATTCATATTTTAATCATACAGGATAAACTGCAGGAAGAAGAGACAAGTCAACTGAAAAAATAAGGCTTGTATATAAATTTTTTTTTAAAAGGACATGCATAGAAGTTGAAAAACATATGCCATTTATAAAGGAAAAAAGGTAATTTTATCCATATTAATATTTTCATTTTCAGTTACAGAAGAAACCACAAACAGGCCCTTTATGTCCCAGAATATAACATTAGTTTCTTGTAAAAATGCCAAAATGCACAAAGAATTGCCAGCTTCAGTACTGGCAAAATACTGAGCCAGCTCTCCCCCCCACCCCATATCATAGGCATACCATATGCATGCATACTGAGCACTTATGTTGTCTCTCAGGCCAATTAAATATTTGCAGAAGGTTGTATATCCTAGACAAACATGAAAAAAAAAAAATCGGTAAGTTTACATTCGTCCTACTTCAAAACACACATACAATTAGTTTAATTTACACTATACAGTATTTGTTAAATAGGAACATTACAGAGTTTCAAAAAGAATCACAGAATATATACAAACTGAGCATTGAAATGGTAAGATTTTTCCTTCCCTTCTTTAAAGGGTCTTTTTTTGTTAATGGTTGCTACATCTGGTTTTGGACGCAGAGTGTTTATGTACCTATGCAGCACATTTCTGGAGTAGTAATAATAACAACAATAATAATAATACTACGTGCTTTAGAACAAAACTAGTATTGATTCTCCTTACTGCTCATTTAAAATAAATTAGGTTTGTTTTTTTTTTTTTAAATAAATTGCATGATATAAGATGTAAGCAAGGATGATGGTGTTTTAAAATATCTGAGCAATAGTTGTGCTGCATCACCGGTTTCTCAGCCAACCTTTGGTTTTTAAAGCCAACCCATTATTACATGGCAGTGTAAGTAGCCAGAACGCTTTACACGGCAGTACAGTTGAAATGCTTAACCCGAGAGCATTTCCATGCCTCCATGACAGAGCCAGGGTCCGTGCTGACTTCCATGCTGCCCAAGCGCCCGACACGGCAACACCCGCAGCCGCTGGCGAAATAAGGCCACTTCCTTCCAGCTCTCCCCGGTTACAAAATCGGTTAGGGTCCTTATTTCCCCACAGCTGCACCCGGCCGAACGGCCAGAAGCACTGACGGCAGAGGGTTCCCAGGCACGGTCCCGACACGCGATCGCCGCCCCCGCTGGCACCGCGTCCCGGGGCTCAGTCCTCCGTGTCGGGCTGCACCCCCAGCATCGCGTGCAGCTCCTCCGCCGTGTACCCCAGCAGGTTCTGCAGGTCGCACACGAAGCGGTACACGTAGCGTTTCCCTGACGTCTTGTGGATGATGTTCTTGTCGTAATAGTAGCGGAGGCCTCGGCTCAGCTTCTCATAGTTCATTTTTGGCTTGTTTTTCCTCCTTCCCCACCTCCGTGCCACCTGTGGTCCGAAAAGAAAGCAAAATGCAAAGGGTCTATTCAAGTCACGTTCTGCTAGTCGGTGGCTGATAAACGCAGTTATTAAAACCCTCTCCCAGTCAGAGCATTTTATTTGCTTTGCTTTATTTCAAAAATAAATCAAAAAGGTTTTGGTGATTTTTATTAATTAAAATAAAGTGACTTCCTCTGTTTCACCAAACTCGGGTTAAGAGTTGGCGACGGACCCCTCAGCTGAACATGCTCTGAGACAATTATCCGCAGCAGCTTCAAGAGAAAGCTGCTGATAGCAAATACCAGTGAAAAGAATACCTATTTGTAGTAGATAGGCCAAGATGTGTTTATGATCAAATTTATGTGAAATATAGTCTCCACTCTCAAGAATAGACCATTTAAACATTAATTTGCTATTGAGCAGTATGGGACAGCTCTTTAATTATATGAAGTTCCTTGGAGTTAAATTTCCAGTTAATGATTCCCACCCCCCCTCTTTTTTTTTTAAATAAAGGCTTCAGTGGACTTTATATCATGTCTCTTAATACAATACTGATAACAGTATCAGAAAATGAAAATGCATTCTATTTATTTTTAATGACTAAAGCTGTAAGTTCCCAAAATATTTTAAAACCAGGACTACCATATTTGCTGTGTATCTAAAAGCATTTTCCACATGCCTTTGTGCAATCCCAGGCAGTGTTGATTTAAACACACTCAGTAAGCTAATTACAGCATTACACCGTCAGGAGAACGAACTTTGTACGCTACCTTTAAGGGTCAAGGTATACATCGTCTTCTCCTAACTACAAGCAAATGCTGATACCCTTGGGTGGGAGAAGGGGGAACATCCCACGGCAATCCTGACTGTACAGTAAAGCGTTTGCAGATGAAGAGATTTCATAAGTGTCTGATCTTGTAAATGCTCGATAGTCAAGACTAGGCCCACAGACGGTGGATCAGACCCTACATCTTCTTGTTCATCACAATTAGCCACATACCTCGTCTGGGTCAGCAAGTTTAAATTCCCATCCATCTCCAGTCCAACTAATGAATGACTGACAGGACTTGTCAGTCAGTAACTCCAGAAGGAATTGCCACAGCTGGATAGGTCCACTGCCTGTTATGAGAGAGGGGGTGGGGAGAAACCACAATTAATACTTCTGCAAGCCCTTACCACAACCAGTGTGTGTGACTATACTCATATCACAGGGTAAGTCTTGTAATTACTCTGATATTTAAAAAAAAAAAAAAACAAATCGGAAAGAAACTGAAGGTTTTTCCCTATAATGCAAATCTGCCCACAAACATGTTAAAATTAAAACAAGTCAGCTTTTTCATGGAAACACAGGATTTGACATCAGCTATGTCTTTCCCTTTAATACAGGCTCCTTAACCCTCACTCCCACCTCCCATCAGCTGCATTTCAAGCTCTTATTCCTGTCCTGCAGTCCCCGGCTTGGCAAACATTCTAGAGGAAACAACTATTTCAGCAAGGACTACAGGAAGAAGGTCTAAACAAGCAAGCCAAAACCTGCAGAAACTCACAAGTGTGGGAGATTTTGTCCCAGTTTCCCTCTTTTTCAAACAGATCAAGAAGTGCATTTCATTTTTACATGTTCTGATGTACCTGCCTGTTCTTGCTTTAGACAGATAGTCCTATGAGATCTTATTTAGTAGGATTCCAAACTGAAACTCTTCATAAGTAGCTGTCCCTAAGCTGTAAGACATACCTTACAACTATACAACTTTATCACCATGGCACACGTTTATAGAGACTATTGATATTACACAAGAAAAGGAGTGACCATTTTGCTTCGCTACTTACCAGTAAAGCCAGCTAGAATTGCTGCTGGTATAACTGGTTTCCCTTGCTCTACAGGATCACTTCGTTCTTGAATATAGTCTTTGAAAGACATTGTAGGTTTGTTCAGACACAAGGACTGGCTACAGTCATCTTCAAAACTCTCATAGGATGGCACACGCTGTAAATCCACTAATGACGACTGGCTGTTCCAGGACTGCAGCATCGAATCTGAGCTTTCGTAACTTTCTGCACCACTGTCACTAGATTCGTGTTCTCTAAGCTTACCTTTATAAAAGAAAAAAAAAGAAAGAGAAAAGTGTTGTTTGGTTTTTTTTCTCTCCCCCTTAATCTCACTTGTATATACAAATTAAGCAAAGGAGGCAGAGACATACAGAATATGGCCTTGAATCCATGGTTATCATGCAGATAACGACTCACCAGAATTATCTATCAGCAAGTTCAGATTGCTTCTTGGGAAATCTTGATTTACTGCACAGTAGTTCACAGCAACGGCATCTGCTTGGGTTTTAGGGAACAATGAAAACTCTTGTTCCGGATTGAGGAGACCTGGTCCTGTGGAAGTCTGACAGACATCAGTCAAAAGACTGGGCTTGGGATAGCTGAGGGCTTTAGGGTATCCAGGCATTTGCATACCATAGGAGTTCTGATCTACATTAACAGCTGAAGAAAGAAATAAAAGAATGAATTAAGTGTTTTTCTCTGCAGTCCCTTAGACTAATACACCTCTGGCACCCCGCTACAATTCTCCCATGAAGAAGGAATCTTCCCATGAAAATCTGACTAAGAAAGAGTGGTAGATGCTACAGACCTACTAGAAAGGCTACTGAAGTTGGTGAGAAGATTCCCATCTAATGGGCTCCAAATGAGATGCTGTAAATCTCCCTCTATAACTTGCCGACCACAAATACGTCTATTGTTTGCTCTTCAGGGAAACTACAGAGCTACAGAAAAAGCTGGAGAAGCTTAAGTGGTTTTGAGTAAGGCCCTCATCATTAAGTGGTGTAATAAGGTTGAGCTGGAGATTGACTGTGGTAGAATGAAATACAACACCAATCAAACTATCTGAGGGAGCTAGCGCTGTGTCCCACACTCTTTCAAAAGCTCTATTACGCTTCCACAGTCTTCAAAAAGGCCTAAACATAACTCCTGCTGCTCCCCAGTGATGCTGGGTTTTGACTCTGTCTGCTAGAGGTGGGAGTGGTCATTCTGCTCCACAGATGTAGGCTTTGGCATACCAAAAGGAAATTTGATTTTCTCAAAGCCTTTGCTCTTCAAAAGATTTCTGATATGAATTAGATGACAATTAAACAACACTAGAAAAGAAGGCTGTAGCAATTGAAGTCAAGTGTTCTCCTCAAGCACAGTAACTATTCTGGTGCTTTTATTTTTTTGTTTTTAAACTGGGATCTGTGGCATGCTTAGAACAAATGTTAAGAGATGTAAAATGTCAAATTTCTAAAAATACTTACTTAAGGAGTTATTATTGACCCAGTGAGGAACTGAGGTGAGATGAGAGTTCTCTACATATTGATCCTGTGTCTTCTCTTGGCTGTCTGGGTAGAGGAAGAAAAAAAAAAAAGAAAATTTGGTTTTATAGTTTTAAAGATCTGACCTGTATGCCATGAAAAGCTTCTGACTCTCTTAAGTATTTTGGGGCCATTGTTCACATAAATTTTACTAATGCACTGCATTGCACTCTCTTGAAAAAAACACACCAAAAACCCAACCAACTTCCAACAGGCTTGAAAACCATCATATCAATTTAATTTTTATATAAAACTTAGAAACATCAACAATTGCAGTGTGTTTTAAGGTCCAAGTCCTTAATGGATGCAACTACTGAATGTTACACTCCAAAACCAATGGAACTCACAGGGCACTGCATATAGTTTTAGCAATACCATCAGTGTTCACCTAAGACATCTCTAGGCCTCTGGCTTCATTTACATTTACTGAATTACCTCAAAACACTACAGTAAAGGAAAAAACAAAAAAACTCTTAACAAGAACCGAACAAATTTTTCCTAACTTATGTTTACTTTTTTTTAAACGGGGTATTACAGCAGCCTTATCCTAATCTTATTTATTTCAATGATTATTTCAAATAAAACCTGACTTCAGTAGGTATTCAGCCTGAACACAGAATGATTTCTGCAGATATCTGCATTCATGCTTTGCGTACATCGGATGTATTAATAGTTCTGATAATCCTTTTATTAATCAAGTTTCAAAGTCTGTTTTGAGTTTTCATATGTAATAAAAGCCCTTCATAGTGAAACAAGTGTTGAAAGAGTCCCAGAATTAAAAGGCCATTTAACAGCCTTAAAACAAAAGCTCTTTCTGGCTCTGTAACTACCTTTTATCATCTGTTCCAGGTGTTCCCACAGAATATCACCCACATAGTCAGGCGCCAATTCCAGGAAACGCTCCTTGCCCAGGTTGCACAAGTCTTGGCCACTCATAAGAAACTGATGGAAGTTCACGTTTGCCAAGCTAAACTCATTGGTAGCCCATGAAAGCCACTGGCAAACTTGCTGTTCAGTCCACAGCCAGGGATCTGCAAGACAGAAAGTATCCAGCATTTAGAGATAACTCCTCACTTTTGTCAAACAATCTTCATTAGAAGGCAGCGAATGAAAAAAATGTGTTAACTCTACTTACTTAGTTCTGAATGAATTCAGAATGAATTTGTTCTTGAATTTAAAGAGAGAAAAAACAAAAAACAGTCCTCTATTTTCCTTCTGCATTCACTTGTAATCAGAGATGTCCTCAGATTACTTGATTCTCTCTTAGGCTGCCAAAGCATGAGCTCTCCATGCACCCATTTTTAATACCAGCAAGTCTGGTCTTTCCAAGTCAAGCTGTGCCAGATTCACATAGGATCCATTCTTGTATTTCCTACTGACATCATTCGTTCTCTTTTGAAAGAGCCGCTATTCAGCATCCTCCTTAGCATTAAAAAAAGAGCTTATAAATAGAAAACACTTACTATTTGGAATACCCAGCCGACACTGTTCCTTTGTGAAACCACTGAAAGTATCTTTCAAGGCCTGACTCATCACAGCCTTACTGCATGGGGTTAACAGAGGCAATTCACAGTTGTTCGACTCTACAAGAAAGAAAAGGGGTGGAGGGGAAAAAGAAGATTCATTAACTTTTAGGCCAGTGAAAGGAGTGACAGGTTTTTGCTGCACTATTTGAAAAACAAGAAAGGGATGCTAGAAACTAAAGTATTTTAAAACCAGAAACAAACAGTGTAGATTCATTTTCTGATATATTAAGTCTTTGACTTGATGTATCAACACCAAAATCTCCATGCTACTGGTTTGATAAAATTGAGTCACAGTGAATTCAAGCTTTGCAGCTTTCCATAATATAGATCCTCATTTACTCTTAGTAGTTACATAAAGTGCCTTTGTCACAGGGAAATTTTACTCTTACTCCTTTTTTTTTTTTTTAAAGGAAATATGAGACTGCTTATTCCTATTTTGTCACCTATAGTTTGACCTCAGACTTCCTTCTAACTCCAAACAGCCTTCATTTACTTTGAGAGCTAAGTAACTGGTGGTAGGGTTGCGAAGAATGAGCTTGCACTACCCAATGTTGCTTTCCAGTGGGCTGTATTTCAGACCTTCCCATGCATCTCACAATCTCACAAATACATGGAGCGATAGATTATTCTATTATCTGAACCATACAAGTGTGACTGGCAACAAGCTAATACCCAGTGCCTAAATAACGCAACAAAATCCAAAGTCAGCATCATCCTATGCCAGTATAAATAGCTAATGTGCTTAACTGATTTTTAAATTTGCAAGTAGATTCCATTTTAAGGACAAATTTGGCTGCCATTCAGCCTTTCTTATTGGGCAGTTTTCACAAGAAGATGCACCATTTTACTCTGAAAGAAGAACTTCTAGGTTGAAGAAAGCCAACCACACTGCCTACGTGTTTCAGATCACGAAATCTTTTACTGACATTCTGTTTGTGATTGGCGTCATTAAGTGAGGGATAATTTGAGGACAACTTAACCAACTCAGTTCTGCATCGCTGAACCCTTGAGAGCCTCTGAGAACTCGCACAGAGGTTGCATTTGAAGAAGTTCTGCTATGTCAGAGGTGTATAACGGTGGCAGGGTATACAAAGGTAACGAACTTGGCAGACTTCAAGTCAGGTCATGAAGTTGTGTGGCTTTTCTCGTTTTCCTAGACTATCTACAGGCTCCACTTGGCCCAGCAAGTGGAGCTCATTACCAGCCCGTGCTTAACTTCTGTTTTTACCACACCCATCCTCAATATCTGCTGGGACTTGCTTTGCTGACCAGAGCAGGTGACTGATTAGAATCACATTAGAACAAAGGACTGGTGGTTTACAGTACAGAGGTTTGAGGCTTTTTTTCCCTTCCCTAAGGGGAAATAAAGGTAGCATCAGGTAAAATACCTACTTTTTGGAAAAAACTCCCTGTTTTGTCAGGGACGTTAGGTAAGGATTTGTAAAGAACTTTTAGTAGGTACTGTCCTACATACACACACACAAAGAAAGGATCTGTAAACATCCCTACTCCCGATTTTAAGGTAAGGAGTAAAACAAACCCAGTGTGGGGAAGTGAAAGGGAACAAAGATTTTGTGTTCTGGGATTTAACACTGAAGGGTCAAGAGAAGAGCTTGCAGAATACCTGCAACATCTCAACCATAATTAAAATATAAGTTTAAATACACATAATAATTTATGTTTTAATTAAAAAAAATTAAACACTCTTAGCTCTGCTTTAATACATACTAAGTCTTCTTCTACAGACCATCAGTTTATTAGGCTACTGAATCCCATTCCTTTTTTTCCATGTTCCCATTCCTTTTCAGTACACACAACAGCAGTGATCAGCAGAGCAACTCACACAGATAAAATCGAGTAAGGACTAACAGTATGTGTACTAAAACACTTTTTTACAGAAATCCATGTTGCACTTATAAGAGTGTATTCCCTTCTGATTGGTCTAAGGAACAAAGTGAAGAGTTACCATAAGAAGTAGAATCAAATCCTGTCGGCACTTCTTGAAGCGTTTGATCTTCGTTTAGTGAGAAAAAATATCCAGCAAAGAGAGAGTTTGAACTATCAAAGGTGTCAAATGCTGGTTGACGCTGCAAAGCAACAGAATAAATAAGAAACAAAGTGAGCATTTTGCTAGAGCACTGTCAACTTCATTGCTAGGAAGCGGATGGGTTAGGTTTCCTAGATTTGGAGATCATGCACAACCACTATCTTGAATCAGCTAACTTGTGCCTTTGGAATATAAACACGACGACAGCATAGCTTCTCGTACAGGAATACAAAACAACTAACATCCAGACCACAGTGAGAGGTGGGTGGCATGTTCTGCAGGTTACAGTAAAGCCAAGTAAGGATATTCTTAGTTTTCCTGTAATTGAGATTTTTAACAACAGAGAATGCACATGCGTGTATATATATATTTATTTCCAGGTATACTTTAAAAGAAATCCTTATTTCCTTCACCATCTAAATTAAACTATGCACTCAATGAGTACTTTGAGGGCAGAGGCAGGATCAGTAAATTATGGAAAAACAACTGCTGGTGCAAGACCTACGGTAGATTTATGCAGCTTTTTGTCTTTTTTTTTTTTTTAAGGAAAAATTTAATCTGAACCACATCACTTGAAGCTATACAGCCAACTTTACAGGACTTGAGGAAAGATGTTACTCCTTTGCTGTGACTTTTATACTTATGAGTTACTGGATTTGTCAGCTATTACGTTTTTCAGTCATTCAAGTGCTCAGTGAAACACTGCTAGTTTCATCATGCAGAAAGGGATAAACAGGACTGATAAAATTGTTCCTGATAAAAGTGGATTCTACTGATATATTGGCAACATTCAATAAATATCGTCATATCTTGAAAACCTAACTTGTTTCAAACTTGACTTGTGTCCATTGTGAATACTAGGAATACTAGCACTATTACTAGATCCCCCAGCCGTATTAGTCTTCAGGGGGCAGAGGGAATGTTAACAAAGGAGGAAATAACTTTAAAAACAACTTATGCAACTTGCCTGTTAGTCACAAGGAAACCGTATCTGTAATGTCTAGAGGCATGGATGGGTAAAAGTTGCCACTGAGATTTTTTAAAAGCACCTGAGGATAGAACATTGTTCTGGAAAGCTCCAGCTTGCTCAGGGCAGCTGCTGCAGTTCGGGGAGCTGGAGACAAAGGCAACTTGCAAATGCTTATTTGTTTTAGGCATCCACTGGTCTGCCAGCTTATGCCAAGGTAGAGGCTTTAGCTGAGGACAAGGCAAAGGTTTTTCAGGGCAATATTCATGTGTGATGCAAAAGCAACATGAACTATGTTTCTGGAATAGCAGATGAGTCAGTATTAATATTTCCTCATATTCCCTAACTTTCCTTTTTATGTCATCACAAAGTTTCAAGTGGCTTGGAGTCTTTTTGCACCAGATGCCCTAATGTGCCATGTATCATCCCCCTCTCCAATCTCCCCAAATTACATTAACCCTAGTAAGAAAACAGGCACCATAATTTTTTAGTTGTGTTTTGTAACAAGCTGCAATGCATCCTAGTACATACATTATGAAAGCATACACTCCACAGAAGAAAAAGCTGGTGGCTTATGATATTTTCATACCATGCCTCAGTTAAACAGGTTCAGAAATCTCCACTGAGCACTGGCCAGCAGAGACAAATTGTGTACGGTTGGTTCAGGTACCCCCCACAACTAGAGGAAAGAGTCAAAGTCAACCCATGAAAAGGCTCACATCCAAATGAAACAAGTTAATAAAAATTGCCAAAGCTGATAGTAAAAGATCCTTTATATATTACAAGATAAAAGCACTGACTCATCGCTAGTACCTAAAAGAAAGGGCAAGTTCTTTCAACACAATCTGGAAACTCCTGCGTTTTGTGTAAATAGCTGACCCTTATCCTGAGTCACTGGAAAAAATGCTGTGGCATGTGAATGAGTAAAATCCACACTGTCCTAGTTTCATATTTCAAAAAGGAGAAAATTAATGTTTAAGCAGGTTCTTGATTTAATTGCAGTAAAAGGGGAAGAATCCAACATAGAATAAATTCTACTTGCCCTATCAGTTATGCAACCATTTTATTTGTTTTTCAACATATGTAAGAGTTAATTATTACAGAACAAAATAAAAAGAAATGCAAACAGCTACAAAATAGTAGAATGCATGTCTCTTTTGACTTAATTGTATGACAACTGAGCACTGAATAACTGCTTAGAACCACGACTGGGTTACAGAGCACACAGCTGTTAAGTTGGGGGTTGTCTTGTGGATTTTGTTGTTGTGGGCAGGAGAGAAAGCTAAGAGGGGACATAAAACATCAGAGAAGTTAGCATACCACTGTCTCTCTGATTCTTCAAAACACAGACATTCCTCAAAGTTAATGAGAACAGAAAATGCCTTCCTAACCTTTATTTGGTTTACATTAATCAATGCTGTGTAAAAAATTGATACTGGGATTAAAAAGTAACTTGCGTGAATGGGGAGGTGGAAGCCCTCAAAGACTGAGTTTTTATAGTCTGCTTCTCATTTGTCCTTGGTTTGTTAAATTTCTTTCAAAACAAGGTAATAGACAGTCTATCTACAGATAAAATATATTTAATAACTACCTTTGGTTTCTTACAATGTGTCGGACTTCCATTCCACACAGTTGCATGTAGTAAGTGAATAACCTACTTTTTTTTTATACTGCTCTTGAATGAATCAGACCTAACCAGCTGTATCAGGACAGCCCTCTGCCAGTCTCATCAAGTTGACTATGTAAAGACACCCCTATTGCCAACCCTGTAACCTTGATTTAGGCAAAAGTTCCACCAACGCCAATGAATTTGAGCTCAGTTCTTGTCTACCTCTTATTTTCAAATTCTTAGGATTTGAGGGGTGAAGGGAGGGAGCCTTCTTGGAGGAGAGGGTTGGGGGTGCAAGATCTACATTTTCCTGTTTCAGTTCTCCTTTTCACATCTCTGCTGAACTCAGTGGGAATACTCTAGAAGAAGATTAGAGGTTACAAGCAAGCAATTAAAACCTGAATATCTGTGTTCACCTTAGCATGGTTATACAATCCCTGTGCTAGCATTAATAAGAACCCAGTAAATGCATTGGCTGGGAGATGCCTCAGTTGGGTTTAGAAGGTGACAGCTCAAGAGTACTCACCTTGAGCATTCCTCTGTACATGTTAGACACAGGAGCTACTTGATCCATGTTCCTGATCCCAAAATCACTCATCTGAAAAAAAATGAGAGGGGTCACATGAAAAATGTTGCTACCGAGGAAGCAAGCATGTTAACAGAAGTGACTCACTGCTTCAGTACAGACGACGGAACAGCGCTCCAAATGAGACACAGGGAAAGCTTTCCTTCTCACCGCTCACATCCCGACCACACAGGGCACAATTCCCACCTTGCCTAAGCAGCTTTTTCACTGGAAGACTTTTCACAGGCATCATCGGTGATAAAAGTTTGATGAAATGCGCAAACAAGAGGATGGTCAGCCTCTGATACCCAGTGTGAGGGCTTTTAGACCTTATCCCACTAGTCTGAAAAGCCTACAGAAGTCCTTTGTCCACCGAGTACCTGTCGCTTTGGGATACTTTCCAACTTTCACTCATTATCTTAAACATTTCAGAGTTTGTGTTATTTTTGCTTACTATATTCCTGCGCAGATGCCATGATTCACTTTGGACTTTGGCTTTCAAAGGAAGGAAGAGAAGTGACAGCGCTCGCCATGATACACCTTCACATACTAACATTCACCCCTTTCATGAACAACCATTGAAGCTGATGCCCACTACTAACAACCTGCTTCCTTCACTAAGCAAAGCATCTCCAAACCGTGTTATCTTGCGCATTTTGTAAACACGGGATTAGCATATTTATAAAGCTTTAGAGGCCCTAAGTTTTAACTGAAAAGGGCTTATGCGGTAAAATACCCTTTTTAAAGGGTTGATAATGGGATCACCATCAATACATTCATGCTACTGATGTCAAAGCTATACCACGTTGCCTGTACTACCAGGAACAGGGTTGTGCGAGGCCTGTATAACTTGTTCTCCTACATGTATCACTTAAGGAAAAAGAGTGATAAGGTTCATATCCTTTTACTGACCTATGGGAGAGATCAAAGATAAGGAAAAAGCCAGTTTTATGGCCATTGTTCAGGTTTATCGTGATGCTGTAATTCAGGTGTTGGTGAACGATACCTTATCAGACTACACTGCGGCAAGTTTCTCAACAATTTTCATTGTCCTTTTTCACAACATTGGGCTAAATTCTCTCGCTCCACAGAAACCATCTGAAAACATGCATTTGTATTTAAATAGTCACATAGGACACTTACTATTTCCACAAAACTGTGAGCACTTATTACAAGCACGCTCTCTCGCTAGCCATGTTAACACAAGGAGAAATCAAAATGCGGTCTTAAACTTAGAAAAAGATGGAAAATGAGGAGCTTAATAAAATAAGAGCAGCCTGTTGAACTGACACAGTCAAGCGCCATCCATATAAAAAAATAAAAACATCCAACAGCCAAAGACAAGGAACCCCTTCATCCTCTTATATAGTCAATCACTTAAAAAAAAAAAAAAATCAAGAGTCCTTAGCCTGAAAGGCCCATTTCAACTTCATTGTTATCAGATGTATGGGGCTTATCACTGAAATGAAATAAGTCAACTGACTATGAAAGGAGTATTTGACTTACACTTCACTAATGTTACCCAAAAAGTGCAATCTACTGAACAATGGTTTTTACCTCAAATAGTGTGTACAAATATTTCATCTAAATTACACATCTCATTGAGCAGCAAAGAATTTTACACAGCATGAGTCTCACTCAGCAAGCATCCTAATCTTTTCATTAAATTTGCCACAGTTTAAACAACTGTTTATTCTTGCATTTGGCTGGGCTTTTAAAAAAAAGTATATGGCAATTTCCACCATATACTTTGTTTTGCCTTTGAAATTTTCTCTGTTATCTAGGGATAACCTCTGTAAGCCTTGCCAGTCAGAAAGTATTTGTGAAAACATGCTATGTATCTTCAGTGATTTTTAGATCTGAGCCCCAGTTAGGGCTACAAATAAGACTTCTGACAATTTCAGGTGCAATCCTGGCCTCTACACGAATCCTGTTAGGGGAAAAAAAAAAAAAAAAGGAAGGAGAGAATCCCATTCCTTTTAGTCAGCTAGTCCTGTTCCTACCTCATCTCCTTAGAAATGTTTAGGGTCCTAAGGCAAAAGGTTTATATGAAGTCTTCACTACGTGGCGTTGCTCATTAACCCAGGTCACCGTTTTTCCACGCTGCTCCTTGGCGCTGTGGCCCTGCCTGTGCACTACACAGCTCACGAAAAACTACGCATCGAGCTTTGGTCTAATAACACGCAAAGACCTGTAGCGCGTTCTGCAACACTCCAGTTTTCTTCCCTTAAACAAATCTCTCGTGTTGTTACTGATTTCTACAGCCTTTGCCCATCGTACATCAACTTTCTCCCCATCAGCAGGGCACGTTTCCAGCCCCGAGATCCGAGACCCTTACAGAGGCATCATGAAACAAGCAGAAGCGAAGAGGCAACACAGCTTTTCGCAGCACGAAGGGTTAAAGCTGGCTTTCTGCCGGACTTGCAAAGCTGCTGTTTAAGTTTAGAAAAAGACACTACTAAGGCGGCGCACGATGCGACTGGGCCTCTCTTCCAACTCCTCCACTAACGCTGCTGACTGCGACTTGCCAGCTATAATTGGTTTAACTGGCAGGACACCTTCTCCAACACCCCCGCATAGCTGAGTGGGTGAACCAGAACAGGGTCAACAGGATCAGGCACTTATTAACTAATACTCCTGAATTCTGATCAACTTCTTTTCAGCAATAGCCAGGTGCTTGCCCACAGCTGGAGCCTGCTGGGAATCATCCACATGGAGAACGAAACCACGCCAGTGTCCGCAGCGGATCTCCGCTGGTTTATTACTTTTTTTTTTTTTTAATGGAGGGGAGCTGGTGGCTGTTTTGGTTTTACATGGCAAATTCAGGCTCCTGACAAATAAATAAACAAATAAATAAATAATTTCTTGCCGATGGGGGAAGGGACACCCGCCTGCCTCCGGAGCGCTGGTCCCCCCGTGCGGCTGTCGGGTTCCGCAAGCACCGGTGGAAGAGAGAGCCGAGGGCTGGCACGGCTCGTCACACGTGTGACACGCTCGCCCACGCACAGGCCCGATGGGGAGACCGCGCAGCCCAGCGTCCTTCACGTCCCTTTAAAGCACTGACCGAACCCACAGAGCGCGCGCTGA